GTGGATCCTATTCTAGAAGCTCATGCAGCTAGAGATTACACTCAGCGATCCAACGGCTAGGGTAAGGAGCTCTATGAAGACGACATGGATAAGATCGATCCATTATTTACAGCACTCCTAGAAAATTCAATTGTACATGTTTGTAGACATAACCCTATACCAGATACACACAGTTATAGACTAACCCCCCACAACATAATTGCTACAATTGGCTGTGCCCCATCCATGTTATATTTCATCCCAGCTTAATCATACATATACCCATGTTACAAAAATTCATTCACAACTCTCTCTCTCTCTCTCTCTCTTTCTCTCTCTCTCTCTCACGCGCGTGCGGCCTGTGTCTAGTGATTGTCTGGATCTGGCATGTCTTACAAATCGAAGCGACGAAGCATGTGCACGACCGCTGTCAGTGAATGTAATCTCAAACCGGATCACGCTTCTTTGCAAGGACACGCTTCATCACAAAAGAAGATGCTTTCACACCTGTCCTGAAGCGGTGTCTACCAGCTACCAGTTTCTTTTGCAGGTTGCAAAAAACTCCCGACTCACTGTTCGCTTCGTGATATCGCCGTATCCAAGACCGGTGCTGGAATCGACGAGTACAACATCCAACGTGTTTTTTTCCCCCCAACTGTCAGAATAATTCTCAGTCCGCAGTGCAATGCCCCTCTGTGTATGCTCCCCTGTGTGTCCTGCATGACTACTATGCGATGCTTCCTGACCATCGTGCGGCGAGGCTTTACGCCTTTCAGCTTATCCGCGCTAAGGTTCCATATATGGCAATAAGTACCAGGCATTCTATATTCGGGCGAAGACGGTCGTACCCAAGAAAAACTGTGTTTCCAGGCCTATGTTGCGGCACTTAGCGTAACGCAACATAGGCTAATGTGTTCTCAGTAGCGAAGCCTAATATGTACCGTGAACTGTGGTTGCAACCCTGGTTCGCATTCCATAGTACTGAAAAAACTACTGTGTTTCCAGAGGAAAATTCCAGCCATGGTTGGGAAAAGTTACCATGGTTATGAAAACTCCAGCCATGGTTAGGAAAAGTTACTTACTGCCATGCCTGGTACCGTAAACTGTGTTCCAACCAACATAGGCTAATGTGTACTTAGTAGAACTCCAGCCATGGTTAGGAAAAGTTACTTACTGACATGGCTGGTACCGTAAACTGTGTTCCAACCAACATAGGCTAATGTGTACTTAGTAGCGAAGCCTAATATATACCGTCGTGAACTGTGGTTGCAACCCTGGTTCGCATTCCAGAGTACTGAAAAACCTACTGTGTTTCCAGAGGAAAATTCCAGTCATGGTTAGGAAAAGTTACCATGGTTATGAAAATTCCCGCCATGGTTAGGAAAAGTTACTGCCATGCCTGGTACCGTAAACTGTGTTCCAACATTCCAGACCTATGCTGGTTAGGAAAACTTACCATGGTCAGGAAAATTCCACCCATGGTTANCTGCCATGCCTGGTACCGTAAACTGTGTTCCAACATTCCAGACCTATGCTGGTTAGGAAAACTTACCATGGTCAGGAAAATTCCACCCATGGTTAGGAAAGTTACCATGGTCAGGAAAATTCCAGCCATGGTTAGGAAAAGTTACCATGGTTATGAAAATTCCAGCCATGGTTAGGAGAAAAGTTACCATGGTTATGAAAATTCCAGCCATGGTTAGGAAAAGTTACCATGGTTATGAAAATTCCAGTCATGGTTGGGAAAAGTTACTTGCTGCCATGCCTGGTACCGTAAACTGTGTTCCAAC